TTTCATGGGTATCGTAGCCCCATATTTCTCTTTCGAATGGTGAAAACCGCACCTCTCTATCTATCACCGTTCCGGAGCTATAAGGTCAACACTGACCGGCCATTCTATTTTGAAATGGATAGTAGTGGTTAATTTTTGTAGCCAATAAAAAATGGCTCGTATTCCTCCGACGTATTTCTCATCATTAAGTGTATGAACATGATATAAAATCAGTTTTAAATGTTGTCATAGTTATCCTAGCTCTATTGACATTTGAATCGATTTAATATGCGTGCAGCTGCTGCTCGTTGACATTAAGAAGAAATTGATTACATGTAATTTTCAGCTCAAATATATGCAAAACAAGGAAGGTATTAATGTTGTAGTAGTGCCAGGACTTTCTTTCCATTTCCATGCACTATTGAGAACCGTTTTTCACAACGTCTGTCGGAGATATTTTTTACAATAAATGTACCGTTGAAAAGATTGTGATGTTTATTTCATTCTATTTTAGATAAAGATTGTTTTTCGCATATTGCCGAAAAAGTACTCGGAAAATGTCACAAGTGCGTATGAAAATGTGAATAAGTTGTATCCATTTCTTTATTTTGTTCTTTGCTAGGCTGAAGTAGAAGAAACAATCAAGCGAATTCAAACACACAAAGGTGTACAAGGTTTTATTATAGTTAGCACAGAAGGTAAGTGAGGTTATTTAAGTAGAGAATTTTTTCTATTGTTTGCTTTTGCCTTCTAGGTGGTTTTGTTCGTTCAACAATCGATAATTCAACAACAATGTCTCTGTCTGGTTTAGTTAAGCCATTGGCTGATAAAGCAAGATCAGCTATTCGAGATTTGGATCCACAAAACGATTTGACCTTTCTTAGAATTAGAACAAAAAAACAAGAAATACTTGTCGCTCCTGGTAAGAAAATCATCGTAGACCCTTATTCGAAAAAATTCTTCGCATGTCGATCAATATTCATTGTTCGTCTTATGAGAGAAGGGCCTCAAGTTGCAAACCGTTTTTTTTTATGAAACTAGGTGGACTATACGTAACTTATAACGTTGATTCTAAATATGAGCATCGGAGTTGCCCTTAGGCCGTTGTTAACCGGTTTTCTGGAAACTGGATATTCAGAAAATCAGGGACCAAATCCAGAAAATTTTCTCAACTGGCTATTTTGTAGAGGACAAAACTGTCTATGCTCCATAAGTTTAGTTTTTCAAAATAAGAATCAACAGTGTAGGAAAATTTTCCATAAGAGTTTTTAACCCTGGTTTGGATCGAACAATGTTGCAGTAGAATACTTTGCAAAAATCTCAGCACCGTTTAATGATATTTTGAAAAACTAAAACTTATGAAACATAGACATTTTTATGTCCTCTACACAATGGCCGATTGAGAAAATTTTCTGGATTTGGTCCCTGATTTTCTGAATATCCAGTTTTCAGAAAATCGGGTAACAAAAGCCTAAGGTCAACTCTGATGTTCATATTTACAATCAGCGCACACACCAAGTAGTCCACTTGGTTTGATCGAAAGAAATAGTTACAACTTCGCTCGTTAGTCTATTCAAGTTCCATTTTATTTATTTATGTATATATATTTTTTTTCTTTTTCTTTAGATAAAGACTATTTAACAGTTGTTTTGCAAGCGACAGAACAAGCATGATGATTTCGAATACGAGTGTTCTGTCTTCTACTAATGAACTGTACTTATATCCATTCTAGTATTTTGTGTGTGTGTGTGTATATTTTGCACCATCTCAGTATATGTATGTTGTATTTGTTTTGTCAGATTACTAGCCTAATGATCTTTTTTCTTCTTCCGTCCATTTTATGAAATTGTATTTATATTTAATACTCACCCTTCCATTGCATTTCTTGTGTTTGTATTTGCCGGTGTTTTGTTTTGAAAATAAACATGTATAATATTTTATTTCAGTTAGATTTGCTAATGTTACGAGTCTAGACTCTGTTTTCTCGAGCATTAGAAAATAAGTGCGCAATTCGAAGGAAAGAAGAGTTAAAAAGATTTTTGGATATGCCGAAATTTTGAGTAAATATTTTCTTATACAATAAGAGGTTGCAGAGCTTCGAACGTTCTTTTATTCGCATTCTGCATTTATTCTAATAATGTCTTTCACCGAGCCTAGACTCGACTAGGAGTTAGTTATTGAATGAGTGCAAAATTACAAATAACAATCACGTAGAGCTCGCTAACACCCTATTTTCTAGAGAAACAGACATGTATTCTGCATTTCTAACAACTCAAAAAAACTTCCATCTAATCAGTCTTTAAACATTCATGATAAAGTTTTAAAGATATATCAAATATACTTATAACATCCCTACTTAGATTAATGTTTTTACACTTTTCGGTTTTCATCATATTTTTTTTTTCTTTTTGAAAAAAGTCTGATTACTTTTAGATATATAAAGTAACCGTTTTCCTTTGCAGTTGTTTAAAAAATGACTCAAGTAAGTACAAAAACACAGACAATATAAAAACTTATTTTTTCTATTTATATCAATCATTTTCTAGGCTGAAGTAGAAGATACATTGAAACGTATTGAAGAACATAAAGGTGTACAAGGAGTATTGATTACTAATGATGGTAATGGAATGTTGTTGACTTAATTTTAAGTAGTATAGAGTAGTCATTTTATTTTTCTCTATTTTTAGGTATTGCAATTCGTTCAAATCTTGATTCATCTTCAACTCAACAGTATGCAACACTAATTAAAACATTATCAGATAAAGCGAAAGCAGCCATTCGAGATATTGATCCACAAAATGAACTTGTTTTTTTTCGAATGAGAACAAAAAAACATGAAATACTTGTTGCACCTGGTAAGTCGAAGGATTCTGACTCATTCTCTGAAACAATACATGATAAAGTTATTCCTAACAGATTATCGTAAACATTCTCTCAATTGCCATTTCAATTAGTTATCGGTGATAAAACGTTAAGTGCATATAGTGAGAGATTTTCATCCCAAATTATAATTAAAAATGGATTTCTTCTCTAATATTTGTGATGTATGACTCTGTGTCACTGTCTTCTATTACTGTACATTTTGTTAAAGACACTATTATTCTCTGTTTTAGAAAAAGAATATACAATGATTGTTTTACAAGCAACTGATACAATTTAGAAGAATGTTATTATTATTTATTAATTAACTATATTATTGGTATTTCTAGGTTTATTGTTTTTAATTCTCATTTTAACGAGTTGTGGTTTTGTAATTATTTTTTTGTTTTATTTAAAATTATATGAATATATATATATATATATTTATACAGAAATGTTTTCATCTTGTTCTTTTATGGATATGAATAGGCAGTTAAATATCGTATTTGTACACGTTAGATTACCATTATTTTAATATGAGTACCATACTTATTGTAAAGTATTAAAAAAAAGCGATAGATTCTGTTCTCTTTTTGAAGTATCTGAATATGTTAACCGAAAAATTCTAAGAAAGACTCCATGAGATTAAAATTCAAAGATAGATAAATTATGCATAAAATTCAAGTCAGATCTAAATTCTAATTCCATTCTCACTCTCACATGTACATTGAAACCAATAACAATTTAAAAAATCAAAAATAAGAGAATTTTGAACTTGATAAATGTTTTTATTAACGTATGATTATGTTTGAAAAAAAACATCTGTGGCGGTGTCAGATAGATTATTATTAGACAATTATTAGACTTAACATAGTCGATAAAAATGCCGTTTCATAGTTTTTAGCTAATCGTATTGTCAGAAGTCTGAGAGATTTTTTCCAGATAAAAACTCTTTTCAGATGTAATTTATTTTTCCAGGACTTCAAGTTGAAAAGTGTTTTTCAACTTTGATAATATATTGGACTGAAAAACCGGCAAAGTATATGAAACAGAACATTTTGATCTCAAAAATTCATAAGTCTCATACTCTTTACAAGCTTCTTTGTTTTTTTATTTTCGGTGGTATGCATCTGTAGTTCACCATGTTCATTAAACTTATTCTAATGTTATAGTGTGCACTTTGATCATTACATTGATGTTTATGTGCTAATTCAGAATTGAAAAAATTGTCGTGTAGCAGTCATATTCAGAGCTGGGATTTAGTATTGGTTTATTTTATTTCACAGCACATGAATTTTTATTTCTTCAATGGTCAATTTCTCTATAATTACGCTGTCTATCATTAAAAATAGGGAAAAAATGGATATATATTTGAGGGTTTTTTTGTTGTTAAAAGTTATTTTACAACTGTTTTATATTACAAATTATAAAAATTTTTTGTTTATTTTAAAGATACGATTTATGTAGTGATCATATCATTCGAATTAATTAATAATGGTGCTGCATTTTAAACAACCACTATACGAACGATTTTCATTAGGTCGTCCATCGTCTAATGTAACTCCGTCTACTTCCAATACATCTTCGTCATATAGAGGACCACCGTCATTTGTTTATGGAAGATACGATTCGACACAAGACATCTATGTCACATTCCCACGTCTGGTAATACAGCAACAATTTTACAACATATTTAGTAAACCAACAGTGAAATAAACAATATTTATTTTTTTATAATGAGAATTATTTTTTGTATTTTTTAGTTAATTATGAGCAGTTTAATGTTGTTAAAGCCGGTGATTGTAACACTGAGAAAATTATTTTAGTTAAAAATTTATTTTTATTTATCGAATAATAATTGATAATAAAGAAATCACTCTTTTGAGGAACTAATCGAATGATAATGCATTATTATTGTTAAATAGTTATAAACATTATATTTTGAATAATTAATTACAAGAGAATATGAACTCAGCCTATTTCAAAAAGTCTACAAGTTAAAATAACGTGAGACAAGAAATGAAAATAGATATAATGTATAATATTAATGAGTTTGATACTATTGTAGAAGATGTTAGCAATTTTACAAAAAATCTGTTTTATAAACGACTTTTTTCATTACAGAAAAGCTGAACCCTGGGAAAATTGAATCGATCCTTAGGCGTAGTACACTTGTGTAACTGTTTTATATTAGCTCAGTTGAGAATATATATGTCGAACGTCACAATCCTTTGTTAATCTGATGTTCTAAGGCAGTCATCCATCCCTCCTACTGATTATTGTCCTAACGTATCAAAAGAAAAGACAAATATATTAAGTTTAAACACAAAGCCGAGTTTGAAAATCAAAAACATTTGGAATATTTGTTTTGATATTAGTTTTCTTCTATTCTTATTTCTTTGTGTATTTGTATTCTAAACGAATGCAGTTTAAATCTTTACTGTTATCTCACCTGTTGTTAAATAATGAATAATAGTAATGGCTTATTTGACCAAAGAGGCAATCATGCGTGAAAGTACACTTCTACATACGCTATCACACACATGGGCAGAGAAAGTAAGAACGAATAATGATGTAGTCATGGTACTCTTAAATTAACCATATACATCAATATCTAACTTATAAACTAGGCTTTTTATAATTCAAATCGTCATTTTTTTTTTCTAAATGTAAGTATTTCTAGTTAGATCTCTTTCAAATAAAAATGGCGACAAACTGTCTCGTAACCTTGATCAAAACAAATCATTATTTCTAGTTGCATATAGCTTACCAAGGACAGATAACACCAATAGCGTATATTTGATGGATTCATCATTCTCTAATCCATTGAGTTATAAATACTCCTCTCTTCAATCATTAGCCACTGCTAATTATTCATCGCAAGCAAGAATTGTTCACTTACATAAACGTCATGCTCATACGGGTTTTGGTGTTTATATTGGTGAAGATGTGCCCAGCGGTTTATATGTTGTAACAGTTGAAAATAATTCTCCAGCATCCGAAGCTCATATTCAACCAGGAGATCGTGTATTGGCTATCAATAATCAACAAGTTTCAAATATTAGAAATCCAAAAGAGTTAATTGTCCAAGCAGCAGCGAATGCTACAAGTATACAATTAGTTATTTTACCATCAAACATAATGGAATCAATTTTCTCAACCACAAAGGATAACTATGTCAATAATTCAAATAGTCAATATTATGTAGATTCAATACCACCAACATCCTATGATTATCTAATTGATCCAAAGTATTTATATTCAAATAGAAATAACAATAATGGTCTAGATAATAATTTAGAAAGGTAAATTATTATTTATGAATAAATCTTTTGAGAATTTTAAAAAATCGTTCATCTATCATTATAGATACATTAATGCAATATTGGAAAAAACTTCACTAAATAATAATCATAAACCATTTTATATAGTTGAAAATCAATTATATAATAATCACAATCCAGAAATATTTTTTACACCTAATTATCCAAGATCCTTTTATTCATCAAATATGGCAGATAACGATTTTAGTGGTAGACATTTAAATGAATTATCCAGTCGACAAATTTATCCAAAACATAAATCAAGACATAGGAATGGTGAACAACGTCAACATTCAAAAAAACATCATCACACTAGAAATCATCATCGATTTGAGCAACCTCAGTATCATAAAAATACAAAAGGTAGTTCAAACGAAAATAATGAAAATGTTTATCCAGCATTTACCCCACAAAATGGCAATAATATTAATAATAATCGAACTCAACAACCGAATATGGGTGCCACACAGAGAATATTGCGAAATTCAAATGTTTTACAATCAGCATTATTTGATTCAGATGTACAAGAACCATCGAGAACAAACAACTTTCAACAACAACAACAACAACAACAACAACAACAACAACAACAGCAACAAAATAGACCGTATAATCAGCAACAGTCACAGTCACCATTAAAGGGATCTCAAATGAATCCACGACAGGGACCAAATACAAATTATACTGAACCAGCATTATCAAATAGTACAGTTAAAGCGTTAGTGCAAACTCCTAGAGAAAAACAATCAACAAATCAAGTGTATCATGAACAACCAGTAGATATAGGTTCATTTGAAAAAGAAAAATATTACTCATTTATTTTTAGTCGCTAAATTTTTTTTAGGAAATCTTCCTCACCGTTCCGACACATCAAGAAATTCTGCTCCTAAATCACCTGAACCTCCACCATACACTTCTACAGACTCAGCAGCAGCAAACTCACTCGGAGCGATTCCCTCACGTCCTGCAACAGCTAGAGAAACAAATCAACAGTACGTGCCTTCAGCAAATTCATTATCTGTTCAACAATCAGAAAATAATCGAAATATTTCTGTTGCTCAGTCTAGTAGTCCCCGAAATCCACCATCTTCAATCGTTAATTCAGGAAATTCTAAACTACCACCAGTCTCATCGACAAACGTACCAATTGGTCGAGATTCGCGTGATGTTGTATTACATCGTGATCCAAACTATAAAGGCTACGGGTTTCATCTACAATATAATAAAATTATGTATCTAGTGCGAGAAATCGAAGACGATAGTCCTGCTCAACGATCCGGTTTACGTCCAAATGATATAATTCGTCGAATAGACGGACAAATGACAGATCAAATGCCACATGATGAGTTTGTTAGGATTGTTAATGGAAGTAATACTGTCATATTTACTGTTGAACAAAGTCCAAATCCTATTCCTCCTCCAGCAAGAAATGTACCGAATCCTATGGATACTATCCATAAAGATCAAGTTATACCACCAAAATCCAATGAAACAACCGCAGAAAAATTGAAAAAAAAATTTTCACAGTTAACAAAAAAAAGTGACTAATGTTTAAATAATACAGCATTCCTACCATAACAATGTATTTCTCAATTTATTTGCTTTTATTACAGTTATATAAGCAATAAATTTTTCAAATTATTAATTTTGATCTTTACTTGTTTGTTTGAAAAAAAAGTCACCATGATGTTTAACGAATAATATAGGCAACTTTCTATCTTCTATCTGCTCTTGAAAATTAGAAAATGAATGATTAAAATAATCTAACTAACCATCCTATTCATCATTTGTTCGCATCATTACATCAATCCTTGATACTTTTTTCAACACTCTTTTGTTTCAATCATAGAGTTAATACTTTTTGTAATCTGTGATTTTCACAATATCATGACGCTAGCTTTAATTTATTTTGCTTTGAGAAAATATTTTTCAAGTATTAGAACATTTTTTTTTGAGTATTAAAAGCACACTAAACATTTTTTGCTAATCTATTTCTTTGATTAAATCTTAATCCTAATTATTTGCCTGTTATAATCGTCTACACGTATTACATCTAAAAGCATTTGTACAATATGCTTCGAACAGTCAAAAAGTTCTGTCACTTTGAAAAAAGACACCATTGTTTAGCTTCTAATTTATAGCATCATTAGAAAGCCCAAACTCTAATGTATATTTATAAAAAAGCCATCGGTCGTCATTATAAAATAGTTATTTCTCTGTTCAAGGTAATCATTAATATGTGTCGTTGTGCTCATTTAAAAAAATAATTTGCAATCTAAAACAATGTCAGATTATAGTTTTTATCTAAATAAATGAATTTTTATTTGATTTATTTCCTTTTGCTCGATTACTATATTCTTAAATTACAAAAATATTTTAATAAATCCGATCATAACAAAACGCAATCATATATAGTGTTTTTTATTATAAAAGCCAAAAAAAATCAATCACGTGTTAAACGACAAGACATCAATGAACACTCGATTAACGTTTTAATATGAAGAGAACAGATAAATAACATCTATTTCTGAAGAACGAATTTATTAGTTTGGCAAGGTAACATAAAGTAAATTTTCATTACAAATAATATGATGTTTTTTACCATCTGTAGAAGGATTGACGTGCTAATTGAACGATCATTGTATGTTTAAAAAAAATTTATTTGATCATTATTTTCTTCGGTTATATGTGAATAGTTGAAAAAACTTGCGAAGTAAAATGAAACTAGTGGAACAGATATATTACGTGTTTTTCAATCTTCTTGAACTTACATCATATTCGAAATATATGTACATATGCTATATCATCTCGTCTATCTAAAGATAAAAAACACTTTCGAAAAAACGAGAACGTTATTGAAAAAGAAATTTTTGAAACATTGATATGCAATGTCAAATGTTTCTAACAAAGTTATGTGGTGTAGTAGACTTTGAATTTTGAGTATAAGTAAGGGAAGGGCTAAAAGGTAAATTTGAAAATGTCCCAATGAGGGCCTGCAGACAGCCTAAGTGTGAAAAATAAGGCTGAATAATTGATACCGAGAGCTTGTTATGGTAACTCTGAACGTCAGGAAAAGTTTTGTGAAAAAACAAACTTCAGTGAATTATAGAGAAGATATATACTGATTACAGTTAATCTTAATGTTCGTTAGTAATTAGTTTGCGTATAGTGAAAGATTTTTGCGTGCAATAAATTTGGTTGAGAAAAATGTCGAAATGAAAAATATCGGAAATTAAAAACTATCATATGAAACATTAGATATGTAAACGAAGACAAACGTTATTTTGCCCCGTCCGTTTTTCGAAAAGTTTTTTAAGTTTTTCTAATGAGAGCGCGTTTCCAAGTGATTAAACGATTTTCCTCTCACATTTCAGTGATCGATAACAGTAATGATTGAAAGAAAAAGCGTAACTAGATTTGAGCCCATGTGCCTTGGTTCAAGAAATATCAGTTATTTCTCACCAGACGCATAATAACGCTTGTTTTCTGAAATTTCAACAAAGAAAAGATCTCAAGAGATGTTAAATTTTTCCCAAATATTTTGAACATTTGTCTAACAGCTCTTAAAATTCTAGCTTTCTACGCTGGATATTCGCAGAGATATCGACGTTTTAATTTAATTACTTTAGCCTTATATTGTTGGGAAAGAAATGTGAAATACCCTGGTGAACCCATTTTATGCATGTACTTGGCTACTTGCCGAGTACTTAGGAAGAACTTGACAAGTGTTTTTACATCACAAGTTCTTATCTAAGTACTCACCAAGTGTCATCACTTGGGGCGCTTCCGCCAAGTACTTGATAAATCAATTACTCTTTTGTTTTGTATTGACAAGTGGTATATAACGGTCACAATATTAATCAGTATAAACTCAGAAAATAACTTTAGATATTTCTACTGACGAGGGAAGATCCCCAGGAGTTAGTCTCCGTTTTCAGTGTTGCAGAGCTCGATGAGCTGATCGCGATGGCGTATAGCGTTCATTCCATATGCCGTAGGTGGAGAGTTAGATCGATCTCAACTTTCGAAGGATCACTTTGCGACGCTGTTTAAGGAACTTAGATTTTGAAGATATTGTAGTTTCAAGCAGTCGTATTTGCACCATGGAATGCACCGTAGTCGACTGTGACTTCTCACATGTTACACCACTCAGAATAAAGAGCCGAAGCATGTTTATGAGTACATTTTGTAAAAGAAAATATTGGCACAATAATATATGGAAAAAAAGGATGATGAAAGTATAACATGCTACAATCTTTTCGGGTTTTATGTGAGGAAGAAAATCCTCAAGAAAAGCTTCATGAAAAAAGATTGAAGTGGGTAGAAAGGGTTTATGTGTTTTCTTTTTGTTTGATGTTTTCTTCCTCACATAAAACCCGAAAAGATTGTAGCATGTTATACTTTCATCATCCTTTTCTTCCATATATTATTGTGCCAATATTTTCTTTTACAGAATGTACTCAAAAACATGCTTCGGTCCTTTGTTTTGACTAGTTTCACATTTGAGAATTCACAGTCGACTATGGTGCATTCCGTAGTGCAAATACGACCGCTTGAAACTACAATATCGACAAAATCTGAGTTCCTTAAATAGCATCGCAGAGTGATCCTTTGAAAGTTGAGATCGATCTAACTCTCCACCTATAACATATGGGATGAACAGTATATGCCATCGCGATCAGCTCATCGAGCTCTACAAACTCGTATATATGCCACTAAAAACGGTGACTAGTACTTTGGAACTTTCCCTTGTGAGTTGGACCCACTTGGTAGCTACGTGCGTCTGCTCTACAAAAGCAGAGTATGGCTGCTAATGCGTACAAAATACAAAACAGATAAATGGAGCAAATACTTGACGGGAATGTTCCAAGTAAATTTAGTTGCGGCAAGTGCTTGGATAGGTACTTGACAAGTAAAGTTACTTAAAAAGTCTACAACTACTGTCTTTATTACTTAATCCAAGTATTTTTTGCACAAGCACTCACGATAGCAGTGTTGTTACTCTATTTATTGTTGCA